CTCTCTCTCTCTCTCTCTCTCTCTCTCTCTCTCTCTCTCTCACTTGCTCTCTAGGACCTGTATTGTGGCCAGATTTGTCACTGCGTTGACAGTCGATGCCTGTGTATAGTGCCCCTCCTATCGCACCTCCACCACCAGCAATCACAGTGGCGGAACCAGGGGCGGGCGAATAAAGAGATCTAGATCTGCCACGCGTCTGTGGGGCGGGGGGGGGGGCCCGGTCAGTCTTAATTCTCTCCTTTAACCTCTGTCCTCTGTCCAGTACTGAGCTGGGAGGGGGAGTGGCTGGGCAGCCGCCAGCCACCTGTGATTCGCTGCTGATGTCTAGACTCTAGACTCTAGAGTGACCGATTTGGCACGCTGCACCACGCTGTTGCTAAGGGAAAGACAGAGAGTAAGGGCGCATGCGCTGCTGCTGCCAGTGGTGTGCGTGTGTGTTTGTATAGCCAATGGTTGCCTGGCTGGAGGAGCATTGAGAAAGGTTTGGTCAAGTGGCCAGCTCAGTGTCCAGCGCACTGCTCGCAGGTGGTCAGAACATTCTCTGGACACCATAGAGTGCTGCTACTGGAAGGCTGGCTGGGGGTCGACAAAGCAGAACTTTAAACACAGGCTTTTGTGTGAGGGTGGACAGATGTCTTTTACCCTTTCAGTCCCCAGCGCCCAGTGTACACGGTGACATCTGCTGTTCTCCTAACATATGCTCTACCGCGAAGCTACCCAAACTCCAGTACACAAACTCTGGCACGCAGAGAACATCCATCCACTACCAACCAGCTGTCATTTTTCTTGGTTTGTGTTGCTTCTCAGCTATTAAAAGCTAGAATAATAACACGCATGTGAGCGCGAGCGAGTGAGTATAGCTGTGGTGATAAAGGTGGAAGTGTCATGCTTTTCTGGCACGGAAGGTGGCTGCTCGTTCTAATTTTAGAACGTATTAGTAAGACGAATGTACGTAATAGCAGCGGCTAACAACTCTAAGGTGATTTTCGGAGATACACCATGGCTGTGCTCGATGCTCGCTCAAGCGGGCTACCGAGCTCGGCAATATAAAATTACAGTAATTGGCTCTGCGCTAGCTCCCCTAGCGAGTATACGTATATGACAGATCGGTCGGAGGTTTTTATCTGGAACGAGTTTATCGGTGCACGCGTCGCGAAACATACTTTTAAAAACACGTTTTTTTTACGCGTACGTTGTTCCGCACTGTGATTATAAGTGGCGACGGGAAAAATTCAATGGCGTTCAAAAAATGTCGTTCTTGTTTACTCGTGTGGTGCGTTGTGTTTCACGGCGTCGATTCTTAATCTTAATTGATACATTTTAATTTGGATACTGCATGAGCCTAATGATTGGTCTACTTTACATTAACAAAAAACCTGCCTGTTCTACATTTAATCATTTGGCCATTGAATTATTGTTTTGCGTGCAGACCCACCTATTTTTTTATAATTATTTTGCCAATGTATCTGTGAGATATTCGAGCAATAAAACTTATATGAATTTGAATTTAATTCCACGAGGAGTAATCGGCTCTAACGACAGGTTGCCGTTTGTTTTTCTCGCAGATGAAGCAAACTCGTATGGCGAATTTGATGACATCATCGACTACACAATCTGTCACCGATTGTCACGGCGATTAGAGAAGTCACTAAAGTTGGCAAAGGACCAGTTGGAACAGTCAGACCTCCAGGTAAGAAGAAATGACAAAATGATGATGGTGATAGGGTGTGCAGTGAGCCAGCTAGGAGAGTGCGAGCCTTTCAATATATCTATGCTCCCTCTTACACTCTCGCTCTCTCTCTCTCTGTTCTCACTCGCTCTTTGTTGCTCTCTAGTTTGCCAACTTGCTTTGTTACTCACAATATTTACACAATATATGCAATATTTTTAGCACAATGCTTGCTAAAAAAAATCTCTAAACTTGCTGTTCGTTGTATCTATCTGTCGGATCAGTTTTACACCTATAGCAATCTGTTGAAAATAAATAGATAGATAAATAAATAGCGAGTTAATGACCATGGGGGACGGGTCGCAGATGGCAGTTGGAAATGCGTGCTTCATTTGCACAAACAGCTCCTACGTTACTGTAATGATGTTAGAGCCGGTTTTCTGTGTGGACAGTCGCACATTCCCGTGCAACTAATGTTTGGTGTGAGGCCGAATAAACCCGGTGTGTGTTCCTCACAATCGGTACTTTTCTCCGCCGGTGCCTCGACTGTTGGCGGGTCTCTAAATCTAGGGTTGCCCCCAGGGCAGGGAATCGGGAGTTATTCATGCGTTCACCAGTGCATGTGGTGGTCACGTTTATCTAATATAATAATTGTTACATACACTATCAATATGATATCAATATAATATATTACCACGTATACAATCAAACCTGTATGTGAGGGAGTTGGACGTAGTTGTTAGGGTTAGGGTTAGGGTTAGAGTTATTTGTTAGGGTTAGAGTTAGACATTGTGGTTAGAGTTAGGGTTAGAGTTAGTTGTTAGGGTTAGAGTTAGACGTTGTGGTTAGAGTTAGGAATAGAGTTAGATGTTAGGGTTAGAGTTAGACGTTGTGGTTAGAGTTAGGAATAGAGTTAGATGTTAGGGTTAGAGTTAGACGTTGTGGTTAGAGTTAGGAATAGAGTTAGATGTTAGGGTTAGATGTTAGACGTTAGATGTTAGACGTTGGGGTTTGAGTTAGAGTTAGACACTGACCGACGTTTCGACGTTGTCTTGCAGGTTCCGATGGGCCTGACGCAGCGCATTGCGCAGGACATCATGCGCATGTCTGAGAACGAGCCGTGCGGACTGCGCGGCTGCGCCATCTACGTTCGCTTCAGTGACGGCCCGAGTGGCGCCGCTCGCGTCGTGGACACCGTCGACTACGACCCCGCGACCGTCTCGACGCACGAGCTGCAGCTGACACTACGCGACGAAGACGCGGGCACAGGGGGCGCCGGCGCGGCGCTGCGGCGCGCGCTCCCTCGCTGCATGCGCGGGCGCCGCACGGTGTACGTCAGTGCCGGCTACCAGCTCGTCAAACGCAAGCTTTACCGACGCAACGACTCGCTCGAATCGCTCGATTCCGGCGGCTCCGTCGCGTCGTGATGCAGGTGGCGCTAGCGATTCGCTGGTAGCGATAGCGACTTCATGGCCTGCGATCGCGGCGTGGCGATACCGTCCTCCGCGACTGCACTGTACCATTTGAGATGAGCGGTGGGTGTGTGTGACGGCACCGTGGAAGAATCCCCTGCACTCGTTCTCCCTCCTTTTCCCTTTGATTGATTCCCTCTCGGCGACGTTCCTGTTCCGTTTCCAGTGTCCCTCAGGGTATTAGCCAGGAATGAATATTGTGGGAGTGCAGAAAAAGTATTTGGGAGTGCAATTTTACAAATGTACACGGCTTTAGTTCAATATTTTAGGCCGTGCAGTTTCAAAACTGACCGTGCAAATCACGGCTGCACGGCCTGATGGCTAATACGTTGGTGTCCCTCCTTTGAGCGATCCTACTGTGACTCCCTCGCCCCGCTTCTCCTAAGCACCACCACCACGTGGTGGCGCCCCCTAGTCGCCTCATCGCGAGGATCCGGCCGCCTCGCGGTCCACGTGTATGTACTCTGTGATATGTACTGACTGATTTTGCATGGCTGCGCATGGAACTTGCCGCCAGGTGGCTCACCTTGCATCGCACAAGCGAACAGTGAGTATAACTGCAGGAATTTGCAAGGGCTGGTGATCGTATATGCTGAAATACCAGGCGCCATCAAGTTTACATGAGCTGGGATTTGATTTCGAGCTCATTGGAACGTATACACTTCAGTATTCGCATTGCTACTAAGGCAAAGGGCGATGATGCTACTGCTAATGTCTTCAGCGAGGACAGTATTTTGTAAATACATTGTTCGGTACGCGGTCGTTTCGATGTGCTGCAGCGGCGGTGAAACGTTGACACGTACCTACAGGTATTAGGGTTCATTATTGCTGTCGCATGTAAATGTGATGGTGTCCGTTTAGTATTACATGGACGTGTGCTTACACATTGCAATGATGTGTTTGTGATGTATTCCATGAGGCAGGGAAAACGAGCGGAGGTGGAGAGAGTGGGTGAGGAAGAAGGGTGAGAGAGGGAGAGAGAGAGAGAGAGAGAGAGAGAGAGAGAGAGAGAGAGAGAGAGAGAGAGAGAGAGAGAGAGAGAGA